AGAAAAGCCGGGAAATGAGCTGATATGGACATTTGGGCGTCGTTTTTAATCATAAGCATATACGCGGTTCACCTTTAGCTTTAATATGGCCTAGAACTCCTTCATACAAGCAATGCCAGCTGACTTTATTTTGAGAACTGCAAGGAAGTTAAATCGCAAAATGACTTAGGGAGCCACAGTGACCTAAGAGATCAGCCATCGTTCATATCAGAGCTTAAATCTACCACTTTGCTCGACAAACGTTCCTTGACAAGATAAATTTCTTTCGGAAGTCAATACATCCACCCTTCAAAGCGGATTGATTAGTAACGCAGCTGTCTGAAGAATAAAAAAACTCTGAACTAAACGTCGAATGATTCACTCCCTTTACTGTATGGCTCAGTGAGTATGTCGAGTTTTCACAGCACTGAATTGAAATAGCGGCACGAAAGATAGGTCATCACCACTCCGGCTTTTGCCTCAATCCAAAAACTTCCTGATTAGGAACTACTCTCGAAATAGAACGTTAGAAAGCCTTTTTGAGTGGATACATTTGACAGGTATAAAGGAACAGCTGGCATCTAATTTCATTTATAAGAAATAACTCTGAACAACAAGTAATAAGCAATCTTGCCATATAGGGCTATTTGCACTTTACAACAAATTAACAACCTGAGACTTCTACAAAAAAAAACTACGCGATCGCAAATTAAATACAGTGATATAACAATGAACAGTATACTATCAAAATATGTAAACGTCCTAAAGATTACACATCTAAGAGCTATGTTGTTCGGTAACTTTCATTTGCGTGGCCGAAAAACGCGGCGTAAACGACGCTGGTCCAATATTCCATGCTTCCACCTTAATCAATATTATTGGCTTCCTTGCTTTCGATAGAAGAGGAGAAATATTCGCTTCTTCACTTTCGATTGAGAAGAAAAACTGTTTTGGCAATGGATCGCCATGAGAGAAAAGTGGCTTACCTTCACAGGTATCTCTTTGCCATAAAGATCTAGCAAAACTTGTGGATCAACTTCATCGTAGACTGATGTACTCTTCTTGGTGGGTTCCTCCTATGGAATTAGCAATTGAGAAAAAGAATATTTCATTGGGAAAATCAACGTGAGAACCAAGGCCTGCCTGTTTGATAAATGGGGTCAACATAGAAAATTCTGGATCAATGCACAGTTGAAGGGGAGCTCTCGTCTGTTCTTCTCGGAAAGGCACGCCAGCCTTCTCACAAGCCTTTTTAGCCAGTAAATTCTGTAAAGGAATTGATATAATCATCAAGTGAAGGTAGCTTTTGGCGGTAAGAGCTATCTCCTGACTCCTATCTTATCGTAATTCAACGTGAAAAAGGTAATCAGTGTCCGGTAAACGACTGTCATAATTTTCAACAAGATTTCCAGGCAATGTATTTTCATTGATAAA